GAAAACAAATGGGCCTGGTACCTGCTGAAAAGAAAGCCATGTGTGAACAAACTCCATTAACAGCTGGCTCTGGAACGAACAAAAAAAGAGCTGATTGAAACCCAGAGGATAATTCAAAACTTGATTTGATCAACTACCAACAATTTGCACATCATCAATTTTTAGAGTCAGTGGGCTAAGGCAGAGCTTCTCAAACTCAGTAGGATTAACACTCTGGGCGGGATAATTCTTTGTCTGGGGTCAGGGGAAGGGCTGTCCTGTGCACTGTAGGATACTGAACAGCATTCCTAGTCTCTCCTCTCTGGATGCCAGCTGTTCTCATCCCTGGTTGAGATAATCAAAAATTTCTCCAGACACTGCCAAAGGTCCCCTGAGGGGCAAAACTGCCCCCTGTAGAGGACCGCTAGTACAAGACGGTGGGGGGAACCCCATCTTGTGCCCCCCTTGTAAGTTTCACCTTATCTAAAATTTTCTTTCATGGTAAAGGCACAACTATACACAAGCAGTTGTGGCAGCAATAAAGCTTCTCATTTATAAACACAAGGTTTTAGTGGACTTACAGGGAAACCTCTTTCCTCAGAAGCTGGCTTTGGTATTTTTAAATTTTTATAAATCCAGTTACTGTCACACAGACTCTCGTGCAGCTGGATAAACACACTCAAGGAACACTCTCAGTCACATCTTCATTAGCAACTCTGCAGGCAAAATCCCTGTCATTCTGAGATGTTTTGTATTCAAAGCAATTGCACAAAGAGCATTTCCAGATCCTATGGCCTGCTTTAAATCTGTGGTTTTGACTTTATTATTGGTATGGCCTATTACTGCTGGCCAATTGTGCAATAAAATCTGCAGCTTAAGTTTGGTGTCTGTTTCTGTACAATCACAGCTGCCGTCTCCCCAAACTCTGGGGCAAAACTAGTCCTAACAGTGCTCATGGATCAATGTAATACACAGCTGGCCTCGGTAAGCGGCTCTGGAAATCTGCATCCGGGCTCTCACGGACGAAACCCCATCAAGGAAGGACTACACTAAGAGTAACACAGTGTCCCCTAGATGCAGATGCCTGGGCTCCACACAAGTGTACAGGAGCCGAGCCCAGTCAACTGCTGGAGGCACACAATTAGCTCTTAGATTCCTTTGCCCCCATTATTAAGAGTCCATCAGAATAACAGCTTATGGACAAACAGGGCTTCAGTCAAGGGACTTCATGTAGTGTCTTGGCTTGTTTTATTACTTGCACTTTATCCTTCTATAAGGTGATGTAGTATTTACCTTATGATCTAAGGCTCAAAACTTGAATTTATTTATCTTAAGACATAAAACACTTGCAGAAATTCTCCTTAAAATGCTGGCCAACTTCCCAGTCTAAGGTTTCATGTGAATTAAGTCACCCCAAGACATAGCTCCTGCTCCCCCAGATTGTGCAGTAGCAAGTTCCTCGGCACGGCTGGGAGAGTAAAAGCCTCTGATTCTGCTCGGAACTCAGCAATCCACTTCAGAGCTTTATGACTTCTTCCCCTTCAGCCATAAAACAAGGGTGATAATTCACAGTCAACATTCAACACACACTCAACACAAAGTGCAGGGCTCCGAGCTAGGTGTTGAAGAATTTTAAAAAGGAAAAGAAAAAGAGAAAAGTAAAGAGAAAAAAAAGCAAAGAAAGAAAGAGGAAAGGAGGAAGAAAGGAAGCCTCCTGCCTTGGGGAACCTCAACCAGAAAGCATTAGCTCTGTTGTAAGCAGGGTGGCTGGGGGTGGGGTTAAAAGATATTAAAAAAAAAATCTTTATAAGTGCTTTGAAATCATGAGTAAAATCTTATGTAGATTTAAGATCTTTTTATACAGCAGGAAATCCCCAGAGTGATAGACTGTACCGTTCCTCACTTATATTAAAATAAGATACTGCTCCAGGATTCTGAATTTAGCAGCTGTTGGTATATGTGTCTCTTGCCACACTCATAAAGATTTTTAATGCATAATAACAGAACATACAGCTCATCCTTTCTATGGTTGGATGCATTACTTATAATTAACTAACTTTGTACCATCTTCATGTGTGGAAGGAGCAATAATTGGAGCTATCCATTTTTAGTTCACAGGAAACGAGACGTTTTTCATTTTTCCACTGTGCCATTTACCTAAAACGCTTTCTGCCAATGGTCTGAATTGTTCAGCTGTAGCTCCTGTTTTATTTCAACGCACTCACAACTGGGAGACCACGCCTGTTCAAAGTGAATTAGCCTGAAAGCTCATCTGGAAGTGATGAGAGGTCAGCTGTGCCCACAGCTTCAGTGCAGACACATGGGGCAAAACTGAAAAGCCACACTGTCTCTACCTGAATTCATCCATCTGCAAAATAAAAATGATCATGTTGATGTTAAAAATGAAAAAAAAAAAAGGAAAGAAAAAGACTGGATGGAAGTTAAAATATTCACCCGGCAGACATCAGTGCTCATAATAATTCCCCATGATTCACTTTGCTCTAGCACCATGAGCACTTTGGATCCGCAGAATGAAAGAACCCCATCCACACATTCTGTTCTCAGAAACGGTCTGCCTGTTTACTCTCTGTGCTTACCGGTACGAATCCCTAGGCTGTTTCCAAAGCACCCCTTTGCAGAAAATTCTAAGACCCTCTGCATTTGGGCTCCTCTTTTCCCCAACTCCACTCTCTCCCGTAAGTGAGGCTGGAAGCCAAGGGTCACTTTTCTCCATTGTGCGTAACATAGGGGGCCAATCCAGATGTTGGCAGGAGGTTCAGTCTCTGGAGTTTGGAGGAGGGTCCTTGTTCAGAATGAACCTTGGTGAAGGAGACAATGTTCTGTGGGGGCCCAACAGGTAAAGGTTCAACTCATTTCAAACACAGATACAGCCCTTACGAGAGGAACTGAGTGACTGATCATGACTTGAAGGAGCTTTGAATAGAGCTCAGGAGTCAGCCAAGGAAAATACTAAGCATAAAACAAATGATCTAAGGGCTGAATATAGATACAAATCATTCAGTGCTGGAGTAATTCATTCTGGTTAGGGAAAATCTAAGGTGTATTTACAGAGGAATGTAAGCGAGCTGAGGCAAGTATGATAAGAGAACTTCAACAGTCAGTAAAAATTCCAACTAATAAATAGGGGCATTGGGCAGAGGACGCTGTGCAGGAAGGAATGGGATGAGCACAGTTAAGGAAGTGCCAAAGCAAAAGCAAGTATGGCTATTTGGACTGGGGTGGGGTTCCCAGGGGGATAAAATAGAAGACTGTAGAGGAAGTAGAGGTCACATTTCACCCCCAAGGTAAATCACTTTGAAATTTATTCTGCTGGCAACGGTCTACTGTTTGATTTTACCAGGAAGTGATCTAAGCAAGATACTCACTTTTTAATAGACATACCTGCCCATTTTACTGAAATGGGATGAAGTAGGAAGAAACTGAAGGCATCATCAGTCTCCAATCCGGGGATGGGCATGTTCATTTGCAACAACTGATATTTCACAATATTCCTGTTATTACTAAGTTATTTGTGATAGTAGAGGTCAGACCTTAGGCTGACTCACACTGAAGTGTGATCTGAGATATCTATGAGAAGTTCCACATGTCACTACCACAGGAATGCTCTAGGATTTCCAAAGTCTGGAACTGCACACACATGTCATAGTAAAGGAGCCAGTCTTTGCTGCCTGTGGGTCTTTACCAAATTCCAGGTTTCATTTCTTTAATAAGAAAGAGGTTCCTTCCACCTGTTTTGTCCCATACCTTCCCATATTCATACTGCTGGAGAAAGTATTTTCATCAATAAAGCCGATTAGTCTTTTTTTGTTTTCTCCTGATCTCTAGCATCTGTGCTCCTGAAGTCAGTCTCATATTCATTTGGCATATTGATTTTGCATTTCTAAATGACAGCAACCTGAGCCAGACTGCCTCACAGTCCTTCCCTTCTCAGCCCTTGCTCTTCCGAAAGGGTGATCCCTGACATCCCACCGCGTCATCCTCCCGCCCCCGCTTCCCCCAT